CATCACTGCTCGCCTTATTGGCACTCTTGCTGAGCGCACTGATACTCCAGACAGCTGGGTCTCATCGCAGAGGCTCGGCATCATCATCATCATCACCATCGACATCCCCATCAGCGGTGAGAGGTAGGAATAATGAGGGGACGGTCTCTAACTGGCTCAGACCGACTCCCAGCTCCATTCAGGGCAATCACAGCCTCGACAGCAGGCCATCAGCAAGGCTTAAAGAGATAACGAGCCACCTGAAAAGCCTCTCGGTCAACACCAGCCGAGACAGTAATGTTACAGTCACACCTGAGAGAGCTGGACCCGCTCCGAGGCCAGGACCAGACGAGGGACCGTCACCAGTATGTGCCTACAGAGTGATAGAGGGAGGCATTTGGGGACAGCTGTGTTTTCGAGACACGCTGTTTGGGTACAGGTGCAACGCGGGGGACTGCAGGACATCGGTATCTTTCGGGAATCTTGTGGCACATATCCTCCTAAATGGCAGCGTACTGTTACAGTGGACCCACGAGGGAGAATTCGCCGTGACGGACCGACACACGGAGACTGCAGGGACCGCAGCCCGCGAGGGAAGTAGCGGGAGTCCGAGGACGAGTTCAGCACGGGACACTTCCAACATTGTTTTCGAAGAGCCACGCCAGAAACGTAGCGGCTTCGAGTTAAGCTGCTGGTGGAATGGAAGCTACACCCAGTTCGAGTGTGCCAGTGTGCATCTTGGGACGGGCTGCAGGGACTTTCTCCTGTCCGAGCTGCACGAGAACATCCCATACCGCATCTGTCTGCGCTCCTTGGCCCACTCGGCCACAGACAAGAGAGCAGCACACCAGCGGGACTGTGTGGAGTTTACCCTGCCGCCCTCTGGGATGCAGGACATTGTGATCGCCATGACAACGGTGGGGGGAGCCATTTGTGTGATGCTGGTGATCATTTGTCTGCTGGTGGCATACATCACGGAAAACATCATGAGCCCAGCGACACAGCACACGTACCCCTACCGCACTCACTCACATCACTGATGCACTATGAAAGAAAAGGCCACATGAACATGTTTTTCACAGCCATAGTCACTGTCAGTGGGCTACATTTCAACATGATGTTCTAACTATGACCAAACTGAAGCACAATCTACTGTGTCTCTAGAAATAAGATGCCATGTCAAGTTTTGCCAAGGTGTGCTGAAGTATACAGTTAGTGCAGTAGTTTGCTGTGTGTTTTTTTGCTCAGTTTCTGCCATGTAGGCAGGGTTAAACAGCAATACAAATAGCCCAATAAATGTCTCTGTTGCGAAATGTGCGGCCTGTGACAGTTTCCTAGGACCGAGTAAATAAATGAATCCTGAATTACATGGTTTTCTTGGTCATGTCATCCATCCTCTGGTTTCACTTTTTGTTTGTGTCCAGTGGGCAGAATATTTGTTTCATATTGCGAAGGCAATACAATGTACTGAAGTGTAAGATCTCCAAAAACTGTGCCAAACATGAAGTAGAACACATTTTTGTCCTGCTGACTGCAAATAAAGTACAATGTGATTGTTTTTAATACTTTAGATTTGCCAGTTATTTCCTCCATTTGTGTCAACTTGTAAGCCTTCATATTCAGTTCATTGTCTAAAAACCTGTTACAGATAGGAGCTACAAATATCCAAACAACAGTTTACTCGCTGTGGCTTTGGTGCCATGGTAAAAGGAGAACAAAGGCATGAGAAGTTCTGTTATCTGCGGCCAAGACCCTAAACACTTTCTCTGGCCTGCTAAGAACAGTACTATGGAGTTGAAATATATCTGTGAAATGAATAAATGTTCTAAATACTGCCACATCAACTGCAATAACACCAAGATCATCCTGATCCCGATACCTCCATCTCACTATTTCCCAAAGGTCTGTATTGAAGAAGCAAGTAACATGATTGAGGTGGAAGAAGGATTGTTTGATTCTGAAGTAGAATGGAGAGGATCTTGGTTGGGGAAAAGCAGAGTAACATAGAGAACTACAATGATTCAAGTTTTACTACAACAATCATGTTATAATAAACAATACAAAAACAAGAAATACTGAGGCTAAAGGGTGCTGTAAAAAGTTTTCACGTTGCAGCAAAATGTCTAACAAACAGCTTTTGGAAAGCCAAGCACTAAAAAAGTATGAGATCTGTTAACTTTAAACCTAACCTGATTAAACCTAATCCTCTGTGATTATTAATATGCAGAGAAAATCATTGACAAATACAAATGCTCTGGTTCATTCAACTTATAAAACAGCCTGCTGTAGTGTAAAATAAGTTTTGCTTGTCTAAAAGACTAAAAGTGGGTCACACAATAAAAAAACATGTTCTACTCTCATCGTAGCTGCAGTGTGTGCCTCCTTTGGCAAGCCGTTTTAACATAAATTCGGTTCGTCTGACTATCCGTAATTACATTCCAGATATCTAAAATTGCATTTTGACTAGACAAAACTACATTTTGACTATCCGGAATGGTAATTTAAGATATCTCTATTTACATTCTGACTAGAAATAATAATAATTCAAGATATCATTAATGTCATTTTGACTAGTCAGAATGTCAATTTAAGATATCTTAAATGGAAAAGCCGAATAATTCAAGATATCTCGAATTCATTTAGAGATATCTTAAAAGTAATTTTGACTAGTCAAAATTACAATTCAAGATATCTTAAATTTAGTTTTGTCTAGTCATTATTTGCTTTTAAGATATCTATAATTTAATTTTCACTAGTCAAAACTACATTTCTCCTATCCCAAAATACATTTAAGATATCTTGAATTATGGTGTCATTTGAGATATCTTTAATTAGAATTATGACTAGTCAAAAACTAAAATTGAGATATCTTGAATTTACTTAATGACTAGTCGTAATTTAATTGTAGATATCTGAAATGTGTATTTCAGATAGTCAGTAATTCATTGTAGATGTCTTGAATTGAAGTCTCCATACAACTCAACGGTAAATCTGACGTCATTTCGACTAGTCAGAATGTAATTAGAGATATCTCAAATAGGTATTTTGACTAGTCAAAATATAATTAGAGATATCTTAAATCGCTAAAACGTCTAGTCACATCACACGCTAATCAAAATCAAAGCCAAGTCACCTTTAGGAGATTAAAGGAAGGTCCTCCCTTCATGTCTCGCCTTCATTTCCCCTCCTGCCTTTTAACTTCTAACTAACCAAATTGCCATTTGCATCTTCTCTGTTCTCAACTTTGCTCACTCCCAGAATCCGTCCTGATGCCTTTACTTCATATCGTTACATTAGTTTTCCCCCTTTATAATCTCTCTTTCTCTTGGCTTCCTTTACTCTCATCAGTCTCTTTCCCTCCCTCCATCATCTTCTGTCCCTGACAGATATTCATACATAACAGTTTTGTTAAAAAAAAACAATCAAGATCGACCATTTATCTGCATTTTTCTGTTCTTTGAAGCTGTTTGTTGGGGAATCTAAGAACAGTGATATACAGTATTTAATTAGCAAAGCAAAGATTCAAGTTTTTCTTATTTTTTAGAACAATTTCCAGCGAGGGAAAAACTGGTCCTGTGATTGGGAAACAAAACTAAATGGAGATGGAGCTCTTCATACTTTTTATTTCAGGAAAATAATATGCAAATTAGTCTTTTTTTATGCTAAATTGTTCTAATAAGGGTAGTTTCAGCATCTTTTAACTGCAATCATCCCAGTAAAAGCTGTTGTTTTTTTTGGTTTGTCTCTGAAAAACCTCAGTCACATGACTGGGTTCCACCAATCAGGCATTGTCGGGCAGTCACATGATCACATTCCTGTTCTTCCATTCAGTCCATGTTTATCTTCATTTAAACCTCATTTGGCTCAGTTTTACCTGAATTACAAGAACTTTTGTTTTTTAATGATGGTGGGAATCCATTTTTGAGCGAAACCTGGTCTTTTTAATATGCTACATGACCACCTTCCTATTGGGAAACATTTTCCCTCGATCCAATATGGCGGCTTTCAAAATGGCCGCCATGCTCCAGGCACATTCTGTATCCTGACTTTTGACTCCAAAAACAAGGAAAAACACTCATCTAAAGTCGTTGTTTTAATCTTCTAATGACTTCTTCAATTGCTTATTAATCATAAAATGCCACACAAAGCACCTTTAAATAGCCTCTGCTGGTGTTTTGTTGTTTTTTTTGTTCTTTACTGCGCCTTTAAGTGTCTGAAATGTGTGGCAGCCATGTGGGAGCTGGATGTGGGCTGATTTATCCGTCTGAAGGTGTAAATGAAGGCAGGAGGTGCAGTCTGTTCACACCTCCAGTGGGTGCAAATAACATAAACCTTAATTACTGGCCTGGGTGTCTCATAATTAAACCCGAC